CAGCACCGGCAGCAGCAGAAGAGCCGGGCTTTATTATGGCCCTCACACTCGGGCCCTCGCGCTCTCAGGCTCTCAGTCATTCTAATGAGCCGCTCTGAGCGCTAACATGGAGTCTCCGTCTCCGCCCGAGCACCGACATTTAACGGCTCCCACGCGGCAGCGGAACTGCAGCAGCGGAAGAAGAGGAGTGTGATTTTTTGATTTGTGTAATTGTGAAGCGGAGCCGCTCTCAGCTGCACATTTAATGGTGCCTAATGGAAACTCATCTTAGTGGAGGGAGGGGGGGAAAAAAAGGACTGAGAGGACAAAACAGTGACTAATGTCTCTGCAGGTATTTTAGATCCTTTAGTCGCTACCGTAATCGCAATCAGACTCACACTGCTTTAATATCTAAATGGATTTATTTGAAATTTCAACTCACGTCCACCATAAAGGCGTCATGTTTTAAAACAGACACGGAATGTTCTGCGTATACGTGTTTTTGTTTATTAGCATATTGACAATGTAGAGAAGGAACTTCTCAGCAATGTTTAGGGTTAATGGTCACCAAGTTTGGGAATAACAACAGCATTAGCCCGCAGCCGTGTCCAATTATTTATGTCGAACTTGGTCTCTCAGTCCCAAAGGTTTTCCAACGTCTAAAAGACGCAACACGTTTAGTCTGAAATACTAAAGTTATCCTTATGATCGAATGATAAAGAAACCGGTTGTGAAAAGTCAGTAATGGAATTCAGTTTGAAGATGTTTGTTTTCGTTTGATGTCCTTTGGGGCCACACGGTGGAAGAGTGGTTAGAGATCCTGCCTTGAGACTGGATTGAGTCTGTACAGTACGTTCTCTCCTCCTCCAAAAACACATATAGAATGACCATCTCCAGTGTTTGCTCCTAAAAACACATATAGAATGACCATCTCCATCCTCATCATCCTCCTCGTTTAGAAGCAGATTTATCCCCTCACACTTTGCTGACTTACTCAGAAACCAATGAGGATTTTGAATTTTTTTTGTTTTGTTGTCAATTTAGTTTTTCAAAAATTTGGTCGAAAGTCAAAAAAAACAAAACAAAGCCAAAGAACTTCTTTCTTTGTTAATTCCTCTTAATCAAAGCCAGTGGTGATTTTTGGACTGGATTTATTTTTGTACTTCACTTTGATTGGATTAAAAAATCTTTTCAATGGGTCTGAACCACAGACTGTTCTTTTGGGTCTGAGCCATCGATGCAACACTTGTTATTGTTGGCGTCAATTAAAGTCTTTGTTTTAATTAGATCATTTTTTTTAATGAGATAACTTTAATAACATTAATGTGTTTGTGTCTCAGGCTTCAATTCAGCAGATGAACTACTGCTGCTCCCCCTGCTGTTACAGCTGCTGCCACTGCAGTTATTATGGAACGCTGCAGTGGCCTGGAATCAATAAAGTCTTGGGGGTCATTGTCTTACTTTTCCAAATGACGTCTTTCGAGGCTCAGGAAAATCCTGCCTCGATGACACTTATATCAGACTGTAGGTATTATACCTTAGTGGTTTTCAAAGTAGGGGCATAAGGGGGCGCTAAAGGGGGTCGGAAAATTGGAGGGAAGATAACAAAACAAATTGAATTATTTTTCGTTACATTTGTTATTTGTCCGTCCAGTTTCCGATGGTAACCCGAACGCTTTGTTATTTTTTCTGTCCAGTTTCCGATGGTAACCCGAACGCACCTCGTGTGGCAGCTGCAACTGCGGCACGACAACGTCATAATCTGTTATCAAGCTGCTCTGCTCCTCAAGTTGGCACGTAGCCAGCTAGCACAAAATGGAAACGTTTCTAACCAGAAATAGACAGAAATAGCCGACGGACAGCTCATCATTATGTTTATTATTCAGAGCTGAATAATAACTGTCTTATGCTAAACAAATATAATAATTATCCAAACAAATATATGACACACACACACACACCCACACACACAGGTATGTATATATTTATACAGTATATAAACCGTGTGCAGCTGTGAGTGTGTGATTCTTGTCTCGCCGTTAAATACCAGCAGAGTCGTTTCTTACATCCAGCCTTGTTTTCATGGCAGTGACATTTCAGAGACCTTTGGCTTCACTGCAGGAGAAGACAAAACAGCAGCCTTTTAATTAAAGTGGGGAGATGTTAGAGCCCAAGCTCATATTTATTTTAGCAGACATGAAACTGTGATGTTTGAATGAACACAGACCGAACCCCCCCACAAATCAACTGGCAGGATTTTTTCGGGACAAATTCCATTAGATGCTAAATGTGAAATTTTCATCCTTTTTTTTTTTTTGTTTTTTTGTTTTGAGTTTTGACTTGACTACCCTAAACCTGATTAATTCTAAACAATCCAGTCAAATGTATTATTGTTTCTATGTCAGAAAATTTGGAATTAATATTTTATATAAAACACCATTTTACTTCTTTTGTGGTCTTTTAAGAATTCTAACTATCTGAAACTATAATTTAAATCTAACAAGATATAGTTAGATTTAAATTATAGTTTCACATAATTCCGTCTTGCGGAAGAATTACTAAAAATCGTAATAACAAAATAGATAAGTATAAATAAAATTATTGACGTGTCTCTTATTAAAATGGTTAAAGAAATACTTTGACTTTGAAGAACAGGACATTTCATCAACAACTTTTTACGTGAAAACACTGATTAGCAGAAAACTTTTAGACCGCAGCACAGTGTTGATATTGATTGTCAAAAAATTGATAAACAAAATCAAACTTTTATCATAGTTAACTCAGCCAACTGAAGAACAGAAAGTGAGCAGAGCTTTTACACAATTGTTTAAAAGCTCCTGAAACAACCCTCCTCTGTACAACCCGCTGTGTGAGTTGGTGCCACCTAGTGACTGGAGACTTGATTGTTGTTCTAGTATTACAGTACATAAAGATATTCAGCGCTATAGCATGTCACCCTGGCTAACACAGACCGCCATGTTGTTCTGTTGCAGCTTCAGAGCAACAGTGTAAAGTCAAAGACTTTAGAGCTTCAACCCAAACCCCCCCCCCGTCTCTTGTAGAGTCTAAAAACCAGTCTTTCATGCCTGGAGCTCAGCATCAGCGTCCTCTCAGAGCTGCTGTGGTCGGGTGCTCACTCAGTGCAGTAATTCCCCGCTGCCAGCCCACGTATTAACAGATGATCCAACAGACCGGGCTGCAAAGCCGCTGCGTTCACTGGGTTCGGGGTCAGACTCACAGTTTTCAGCCCGCTCTGATTCTACTGCAGCAGCAAAAGATAAACCAATGTGTGTCAGGCCGACTTTTTCAACTGTTTTATTCACTTTGGTCATTTTTGTCCTTTTTAAAAAAAAGCCCATATAAAAGAGTTAATTACATAAATAAGAATAAATGTGGCCTTAAAAGTAAGAAATATGAGGAGAAATATAAGGTTTAGTCAATTTAGCTTTAGCACTAGCAAAACATTTCCGACAGTAAGGGAGGGGGGGTAAATACAGTCCGTCAAAACACGTTTAAAAATAGACAGAAATGCTCCAAAAATAGAGCGCAGGTTGAAGATGAGCTCAGGTGTGAGACAACAGGAGTGAAGAAAAAAGAATGTTTCTGTTTTTAATGAAGTCGCAAGGAAGCTGAGTTAAAACTGTGATGAAGAAGACACTGAAACAGCTGAGTCCAAAAGACAAATAATCAAACACACACACACACACACACACACACATGTTCATACACTCACACAGAGAGAGAGAGAGAGAGAGAGAGAGAAATGTCATGTTTAACATGTATAAAAATCCAGGCGCCGATTCATTCAAATATATTCATAGTTAGATCTGTCAAATGTCAAGTAAGCTGATCCTAGAGATGGAAATTTCTAGCTTTGGAATGAAGAAAAAAAAAATCTGTATAACAATAAAAATTGCAGGATTTCAAAACAAAAAGAAAGCAGACAGAGAACAGTTGATCACTGGCCAATCACAGAGCCCCAGGAAGTCTGGCCGAGGTCAGAACTTAGAGACTTAAAACTAAAAACATAAAACTGTAGAAAAGCTGAGCAAAATGAAGCAGGGAAACAGGTGTTGCCATGAGTCCTCCACCCTATTCTGCCTCTAGTGATCAAAATATCTGAAATATATATATATATATATTCCGGGGTTCGATTTCCAGATGGACTACCGTATCGCTAATGGCGCCTCCTGTGTGGCAGCCTGTGCGTAGCAACCACGTGCTGAATGCAAAGGCTGACGGTACATGTAGCAATAACAGTAATAATAAGAGTCCAGAGTAAGAGCTGTTCCACAGTGTGGCAGTTAGCATGCCTGTCTCACAAGCACAGAGTCCGGGGTTCGATTTCCAGATGGACTACCGTATCGCTAATGGCGCCTCCTGTGTGGCAGCCTGTGCGTAGCAACCACGTGCTGAATGCAAAGGCTGACGCTGTAAATTTCCCAGTTGTGGGACGAATAAGGGACGCAATTATTATTATTATTATTAATTAAAGATGTAAACAGTAAATATATAATTATATATATGTATAGACGCACTACATATATACGTGGTGCAACGATACACAAAGTTGTTTCAGTTCGAGTGTCACGGTTTAATATTTTTTCAATACAAAAAAGGAGAAATGTTTCATGCCTTTATTAATATATATGAATACATATTTACATATGTATGTATATGTAAATATATATACATATATTTACATATGTACATATGTATGTATATATGTAAATATACATACATATATGTTTATATGTATATATATATATATATTTAGGTACATATATTTTAAAGAAACAGTCTTTGCAACTACATGTATTGGTATCACTATCAAATGAATCCTAAGATGAAGAGAGAGGAGGTGCAGAGATGAACAGCTCTCCTCTCCTGTCTGTGTGAGACTCCATATCAGAACAACAACAAATGGGAGATGGATGGTTCAAAACTGGCTGTTAGAAAAAAGATTGGCAAAAATAATAATAGCCTTTTTTTTCCCTCCCTTTTTTGACAAGATACTGATCTTTGGCCAGTCTGGACGACCGCAGCGGCTCCAGCCGTGATGTGTCCCACCACAGACGGTGTCACCAGTTTGTGGCTTTTTTCCCTGTGTTCATCAGAAGCAACGTGGAGCTCAGCATCTGTGCGGTTGATCCATCGCTGCCTCCATATCTGGGTTTAAACGTGTTACCTGCTGACTTCACCGTCGGTAATTCCTCTGCTAATATTGACCTCACTGACACAATCTGGCCACAGGAGGCAGCAGTGGACCAGCACCTGCTGCTCAGGTGAAATGAATGAGTGAAACTGATGAAACTGAGGGGGCAGACTTCTTAGTTTTTTTATGCTAATCATGTTATCTCAGAGACACACAAACAGACGCACACTTAGAGGTAGCCATTTTGTGTGATCTATAGCACTGTTTCACTAGCTTAGTTTTTTTTTTTTACTTTTTCTTAATTGTTCATATATCTATACACACATATATTAAGGGTGGAACAATATACTGTATGTATTGAACCGTTCGATACAGTGGTCTCGTATCGGTACGCACTGAAACACGCAATTTTTATATTTATTTTATCAATGTCTGAAGACTGTTTTTGAAAGTTCAGTGGCTCTGAGCTCGACTACTCCACCTGAGGCCGCATCATCAAGTGCAGATCCACTAAGCTGTGCCTCCCATATTCATTCACAGCGAGCTGCTACATGCGAAACGCAACGTGGCTAACGCCTCAAATTAGGGGTGATATCGTGAAACATCAATTACGATTCATAAATATAAGAAAACGATTATTTCTCACGACTAAACGACAGGAACGCAACTGCAGTGCACACTACGGTGATAAAAGTTGGACGTGCCACCTTAAAGATTGTTTAAGGAGGCACGTCCAGGTCCAGTACCTTAAAGAACCTTGATATCACAGTCTGCTCCTCTGCAGCAGAAACTTCCACCTCTGCTCAGTCTCTCCTGTAGCCACGCCCCCTAATCAGCACAACCGCTCCCACCTGCTCCACCCAGTATATATCCAGCTCCACTGCTTTCACCCCTCGTCAGATTGTCATCACTCTCACGTGGACTTTCCAGCACTTTCTCATGCACACTTTCCTGGCAGGGGTGATTAAAGGCGGTGTTCTGGGGCAGGGGGAACTCACGTTTCCTGCAGTAATGTTTGTGAGGCTTGACTGCGAAACAATGCCTCGTGCAGTGGATGAATCCAGACATGGACGAGTGGTGACTGTTTTGAAGATCGTTCGCGAAGAACGCGACGGTCAGTTTAGCCGTGTTACTGCTACTGTCACCTCGTATAGAGAACAGTCACTGACGTATGTGTGGGAGGCAGTCCAATACATGTGTGTTTTAGGACGCTTACCTTTGGGGTAATGTGACTGCATGTCAAAGGGGGGTAACGGGGGGGGGTCAAACAGGCTTTTAGGTTCAGCGACTGACACTGTGATAGAAGGACGGGGAGAACAGGAAGTGCTGCTGTGAGAGACCATGTGTCGATGGTGTGTGTGTGTGTCTTTTTTACTTAAACGCACACACACTCACACACACTCACACACACTCACTGACTGACTCCTCAGACTTGGTGTATAATGTCACTCATCTGTCACAGCATTGATCCTGGCCTGAAATATAGGTGTATAATGTCTCTCCACGTTCAGGAGACGGTGACAACAGCAGCACATCCATATTGATTTTACAGGTGTGTGTGTGAATGTGTGAATGTGTGTGCGTACGCGGAAATCAATCGCGACAGGAATCTAAAAGTTTTCCATCAAGAAAGTTCTAACTCTCAAAGTAGTGCAGTACGAATGTTATATTTTCATTAAATATATACATGTTCTGTAATTTCCGCGCTATTGAGCGCACCTGAATATAAGCCTCACCCACTAAACTTAAAAAAAAAATAGTTGGAATGCACAGGGGAGACGAAGCTAACGTTAGCTCCGGGGGTAGCTCCCGTCACTTTGTGCTTGACAGGGCTCAACCTGCTCTCACATTTTTGCTACCGTTCTCTCTCGCGCGCCCCACGCACAAATGCGCACGCAACCATTCACAGACAGTCGTACGCTACTGGTATAACACACGGTAGCCTACCAGAGAAGTCATTAATCGCTAGCGGTATGAACTTTGTTAGCTTGTAAAAATCCATAAATTATAGTCTGAAAATTACGGTATATATGTATGCAGATATATGCATACATGTATGTGCATGGGAATATATAGATATAAGTAAATATATATTTATATATGTAAATACATATATATATGTACATATATGTAAGTATTTATATACATTTTTTTCAACATATAAATAGCAAAACACGGATGTTCTTTATTTTTAACTGTTTACTTTTCTGGAGACTTTATTTTTAACTGTTTACTTTTCTGGAACTAATCTGGGACTGGAACTGCAGTAGTGGGGGATTAACTTAACTCCTTTACTCTAAGACTCGGACGAGGGACTGAACCACAGTGTCGATCGTAACGTCATCGTCCGCAAAAAACCTCAAATCAGAGGAATTTATCAGGAAAATAATGTCCGGCTGAGACTCGGAAAATCCTAGAAACGTCCAGCTCTGAAGCTTTCACGGACGTTGCTCTGTTTGGAGTCATGTGGTCTCGCTCCCCATGTCTCTGGGTCTCTCTCCCCTGTGGCTCTTTTGTAAGGTTATTTCACTTATTTCCTTTACTGCTGCAGCTCCGTGTTTCAGCACATTGACCTTTACAGTGACTGATGCTTCTTCTTATTGTCTGTAAGGCAATAACTGTCTGGACACAGGTAATCTTCTCCGCACTCGTGTCAAATCCACTTTCCTGCACTGGGAACCGATGTTCTGTACGAGCACACACACACGACACACACACGACACATGCGCAGGGATGTGCATGTACAGGTTACAGAGAGTGCTCCACTCCATAACCATCAGCGGCACTCAGAGGCAGCAGGGAAGCTGCTGGAGTAAAGGTCAGAAATCTCAGCACCTGCATGGAAAAGGTTAAAGGCAGAGCAGGAAATAACGCCTCGCAGTCCAGGACAGACGCAAAGCCATCGTCACCGCGGCTCGCTGATTTATCCTGCCTCATGTTCTGTCTCTTCTCTTTTGAAAAAAAAAAAAGAGAAAAAAAAAAGAACTAATAAAACGAATAAATCCAAACAAATGATTTGAAATAGTGAAGTTACAGAACTTACAAAACCTGTTTTTTTTCTTTGCGGACGACGACCTGATTTTAAACTTTTTCGTCACCCTCTGACTCCACCTGCTGCTGGATTTTATCGTCTCGCCGTGGAACCCGCTCCAGGGTCTTCGCGCTCGCGCTGAATCGCCTTGACTGCGGAAGAAAATGTGTAAAAAATCCAACGTGACATCAGTAACTGACAACCTGAAAAATCTTTGCTCTGACAAAACAATCGTCACATATATATATGTACATATATGTAAGTATTTATATACATTTTTTTCAACATATAAATAGCAAAACACAGACTTTATTTTTAACTGTTTACTTTTCTGGATCTAATCTTGGACTGGAACCGCAGCATTGGGGGATCAAAACTTAACTCCTTTACTCTAAGACTCGGACGAGGGACTGAACCACAGTGTCGATCGTAACGTCATTGTCCGCAAAAAACCTCAAATCAGAGGAATTTATCAGGAAAATAATGTCCAGCTGAGATTCGGAAAATCCTAGAAACGTCCAGCTCTGAAGCTTTCACGGACGTTGCTCTGTTTGGAGTCATGTGGTCTCGCTCCCCATGTCTCTGGGTCTCTCTCCCCTGTGGCTCTTTTGTAAGGTTATTTCACTTATTTCCTTTACTGCTGCAGCTCCGTGTTTCAGCACATTGACCTTTACAGTGACTGATGCTTCTTCTTATTGTCTGTAAGGCAATAACTGTCTGGACACAGGTAATCTTCTCCGCACTCGTGTCAAATCCACTTTCCTGCACTGGGAACCGATGTTCTGTACGAGCACACACACATGACACACACACGACACATGCGCAGGGATGTGCATGTACAGGTTACAGAGAGTGCTCCACTCCATAACCATCAGCGGCACTCAGAGGCAGCAGGGAAGCTGCTGGAGTAAAGGTCAGAAATCTCAGCACCTGCATGGAAAAGGTTAAAGGCAGAGCAGGAAATAACGCCTCGCAGTCCAGGACAGACGCAAAGCCATCGTCACCGCGGCTCGCTGATTTATCCTGCCTCATGTTCTGTCTCTTCTCTTTTGAAAAAAAAAAAAGAGAAAAAAAAAAGAACTAATAAAACGAATAAATCCAAACAAATGATTTGAAATAGTGAAGTTACAGAACTTACAAAACCTGTTTTTTTTCTTTGCGGACGACGACCTGATTTTAAACTTTTTCGTCACCCTCTGACTCCACCTGCTGCTGGATTTTATCGTCTCGCCGTGGAACCCGCTCCGGGGTCTTCGCGCTCGCGCTGAATCGCCTTGACTGCGGAAGAAAATGTGTAAAAAATCCAACGTGACATCAGTAACTGACAACCTGAAAAATCTTTGCTCTGACAAAACAATCGTCACCCTCTTTTGTCAGCCTTGCCACCTGCAGGTGGCAGCGCTGTGTCTGTTCTCATTAGTTTCGGTGACAGCAGTGTGTGTGTGTGTGTGTGTGTGATACGTTGCAGGTGTTTTCACAATTCAATCTGTGACCACACGTTTTATCTGACTTTTTCCACAGACACGTTTTACTCCCTGAGTCAAAGACACAACTTAGTATCGACTTGAGAAGATTCCAGAAATCATCTGTGTTAAAATGGAAAATTATATAAACAGTAAGTGTTATTCCAAGTCAGGGCTGTCAAACTCAGTTTGATTCACGGGACACAAACCCAGTTAGCTGTCAGAGCAGTACATGTTTTTATCCTTTTGTTTTCATCACAAAACTACAAGTATATTAGATATTTATTATTATGTATTCATATTTAATGAAATACTTATTTCACTAAAATACCCTGAACAGGAAGTGTTTGTGTATTTTTTTGTTTGTTTTCAAAATTCATCAAACGGACCGTAATTGAACACCCTAGCAGGCCGGTTTTGGCCCGCGGGCCGTATGTTTGACATCCCTGATCTAAGTCCTTTATCTTTCATCTAGCCATCATAAAAAGCAAAAAAAGAAAGATCGAAAAAAAAAACGTATTAAAATGATGTAAAAAGTGCTGATGCATACGTTTATCGCAGCTATGTACATAAACTCAAGGCCCGTGGGCCACATCACGCCCACCACATCATTGTATGTGGCCCACAAGAGTTTAACATACTCACGGTTTTCTTAAAATACAAGTTTAGAGCGATGTTCTCTGCACAAAAAAACAAAAAAAACAACCCCAGAACAGTGCCATAAATGTGAACGATTCCTCACGTTCTCAGCAGACAGACACGTGTTTAAAGCGATGCAGATTCATTCCTCGGTGAAGTGTGAGAACATTTTCTCCTCTCTGGCCTCAGCATCATTTTCAGGAGTGTGAACAATCAATCCAGGGCGACGTTCACATCATTTTCTGCTGCTCCTTTATTTTACACGTCAGTGTAATAAAAGAAGAGCCTAAGGCGGCGAAAACATCACAGCGTGTGAACCTGCAACAAAGAATGTATAAAAAAAAAAGTGAAAAATTGTTAGTTCTTCTCCGAAGATGGAGCTCAATATTAGCTTTAGTTTTTTTTTTTTCTTCTTCTCCCGCTCTTTTGACTTTTTTTTTATTCTAAGGTTTTTGTCTTTTCTTCAGACTTGTATCTCTGATGGAACTGATTTTATTTATTTACTATTATTTTTTTGGGGGGGGGCACAGAGTCTGTCCTTCTTCATATAGGTCATGTTTTTGAAACTCTCTCTCTCTCTCTCACTAAAAGGTCACGAGGGCTGGGCTGAGTCATGGTTCATCTGAGACAAGATCGGTCTGATTGTGTGTATTCACGGCCGCCGACCTTCGGTGACCCCAGACTCTTTTTACACCGAGTCATAAATAGAGTCGAGGAGGCACCAGACTGACACACAGGTCAGCAG